TATATAGAGCGCAAGCCGGAGCCCCATTGGCGGTTATTTATAGCCCATTCATTCCATTGGGCCGCACGGCTGTGGGCGGGGTGGGCGCTGCACCGCCGACCGGGCCCGCGCTTGCCGCCATTTTGCTCGGCGTCGGGGAGGTTGGTTGTGGGTGGAGGGACCCCCCCACCACCGGGGCGCTCTCGCGGCGCTGAGGCGGCCCCGGCGCCGTCTGTTACCGCGAGCGTGAGGGCAGGAGTCCATGTCCTGGGCCACCGGCCAAACGGTGCCACCGCACACCAACGTGGCCGGTTGCAGGCTTCACACCTTTGCCAACAGCTTGGTCGAAGGTTCAAACGGGTCTGACAATGCATGATCCCAAAATAAGGGTTATGTAGTGTGCGGGTTGGCCGTGCTGTAAGCTTTGTGACTGGCAAGTGCCCCCGAGCTGGCAGAAACCCCTGAGGCGGCTGCGGATGTGGCGAGCAAGCCCTGGCAGCCTGGTTGTGCAGAGGGAGGACCTGCACCTCGCCTCCAGCACCTGTGAAACCGTGGGCTCGTTTTACAGTTTAATTTGAAAGGAAGCAGGGTGATTGTGTAAATCGCAGTGAATCCTCTGCTCTTGTCATGTGCCAAAAAAAAAAAAAAAAAAAAAAAGAAAAGCTTCAGCTTTTATTGGAAAGAGGGTGATTTCCTGCTAAAGACAGGCACAGGAACTCTGGGATCTGACCCATCTAAAGCTCACCTGAAATTCACAATAATAGTGACTTCCACTGGTCTTTTTGTAGGAATGAGCAGGTTTGTTCCAAAGCTAAGATGCAGATGAGAATCCTGCTGTTTGCAGAAAAAATATGTTAACAATGTGAATGAGTATCTTGATTTGACTTTCACCTTTACATAATAGTATCATTATCTTTCTCTGACGTGTTTCTCACAGCAGAACCCATGTTTATCCTCCCGTCCAGAGTGTACTTATCCATGAGAGTGCAGATCTGAGTCCCAGAGCTGCTTTCCTTGACATGAGCTGTACATGTCAGGAGACATCACCTGAAACTTTCCCCACCACAATCCTTTCAGCACCATGACCAGTACCCTCACCCTAACAACAAGAAGCATGTGCACTTTACAGAACTGCTTAGGAGTTAAAAATAATAATAATGCACATATAGAGGAAATCATTGCAAAATAAAAAGCTTAGACTGCTTCAAATAAAAATGTGCTGTGTTTGGCTGTCATCCAGGTTTCCGAGCTATTCCAGGCCTGGTAGACTGAGATGCTGAGTATACAGATCTCCAGGAGAAACCAAGGGCTCAGCATCTGTGCAAGTCCAGTCTCTTAGCTTCCGGATCAAAGAACAAATCCTCTCTCTAGGTCTCCTCTGCACTTTTAACCTCACAAAATCTTCCCCTATACACTAATAGTTTCACACAATGCTCATGCATCAGAATAGTGTAAATTGCAAATAATGAATAGCTAAACAAGTATTAAATGATTGTAAGTGTAAAATTTTTACCTAGAGTCCTCAATAAATCACAATATAAATGTAATATTACTGGACTACCTCTGCTGCAAACAATAATGCAAGATAATTCTGATTGTGGATTTTTTTAATGTAAAACACGAGTATTTTATTCTTAATTTCAAACAGAAATATACTAAAACCATTTTCTTACAATACAGCATATTTTTGTGGTGATATTCTCCACAAAAAGAAAAAAAAAGTGCCAATTAGGGTAGGTTGTGAATGCTTCTTTTATCTTATTCCATAATCTTTTGCCACACAAACAAAGAAGCAACCAACTGTTCTGTAATTTAATTGTTCAGCAGATTTGTGGAGTCAAGGTCACCTCGAGATCCAAAATCCAAAGATCTGTTTCATTGGATACGCTCTTTTTCTCCCGGTCTTGCAGAACAGGGAATACCAGTCATGGTAAGCAGGTAGAAGTCTCAGTGTACCACCCATTACAGCACTTCCAACACAAACACACACCTCTTCTTCACAGAACTTGGGTGACATGGAAAGAGAGTCAGGAACATAAAATCACTAAAATATATCCAATTTACATGTTTGATAAACAATGCACCCTCTACCCCCCTTTTCTCACTACTATTTGACAAATTTCTAGCATGCAGTAAGTCAGAAGTGGCTGGGTTTTACTCAGACAGCATTTTAAGATTTGCTGAAAGCTGTGTGTAAATTGGATCCTATCTTTGTCACAGCATTCCATGCCAGCTTCCCTAGTGACTTAATTACAGATGCTGTGCTGTGTGTCAACAGCCTCTGATCACCCGCTTTATCTGCCTCATCTGCTGGGAAACACTTTCTTTGGATAAGCCTGTATGGCCTGTTAGACAGTGATAAAGGCACCAGTACTCATTTTTCATGCTGGGATGGTACTTTAGTGAATACTGATTTATATGCTACATTTCCGGTTGGAAAGGTGGGCTGATTACTCTAGAGATCTTTGCACTGAGCTTTAACAATGAAGAATTAAGGGAAGTTAATCATGGGCCATGCAGCTAACTTCCTAAGAGGCTTAATTATAAATGTTGTGTGGTGTACAAGTGCAAGAGGAGATGAGTGCTAGCTAGTGAACGTGTCTTCTGAAATTACTTGTGTGAACGTAATATGAACCTGAAGAATTAGGAGATAAACACCATCTTGGAAACACAGAACAATATTCCAAATTAGGAAACAGCAAGAGAAACTGGCTTGCTGTGAACAACTGAATTGTTTCCAATTCCTAATCTACAACTAAACACCACTTGAAAATTAAACATAACACTCATGTACCAGTAGATTAAAGAAATTGGCCATAGCTCCATCTGCTTAACTTATCAAATGAAACTTCTCTTCCCATTTATCACATAAAATTTATTCACTTAGTTATTATCCTTGGTGTATTTTTTCTCACTTCTTAAGCATTCTGTTGAAAATTACTGATTGTTTCCAGTGACCTCAGTGCCTGTGGAAATGAGGAGTTGCTGAGTGTCTCAATGTTGCACACAATCAGGCCCATAGTGATCTGAACAGCAGCCCATCATGGGAAAGAAAGGACATGAGAATATAAACAATGACAAATATAACCAATGACACTAAAAATTACAAAAAATTAAACAAAGTGGGTGCAAATATAAAGGCACAGTAGAGCCATGACTGCCAGTCAGAAAAACAGCTGAGTAGGAGTTTGCAGTTTAAGAAACCTCTGAAACTGCATACATTATGTTTAGATTAGATGGAGAAGAGTTTCATAACTAACAAAGCCTACTGCAATTATGCTATGAGCAGGTCAACACCATAACAAAAAATATGTTCTCACTGAAGGTAATGGGAAAAAAATCCCTTATACTCGGTGGAACCACATTAATTTAAAAAATCTCAGATCATCATCTATACAGCTCTCTGTTATTGGGTTTGTGATTGTGAAAGGATGCCTTTTTCTCCATTATTGTGTATTACAGGTTACTGGTGAATGCAGCATAGTACAGTGTGTTATCTGATTTAGCTGGGAACACTACCTGCACATCCAGGGTGATTCACATGCTCTCTGCTATGCCCATACCGCTCCCATGCCAGGTGGCCTGGCTTGTTGTGAGCAGATGAGGCAATATTCTCCTCCTTTGCTCCTCCTTGCCTCCTGACTACAGCCCCCATAGCACCAGGGCAGGCAGGGCACTCCACATAACTTCAATCCTAAACACGAGACAGAAGTAGGAGTTAGTACCATGCTGTTAGGGGGTTAGATAACAATTCTGCTGCTTCTGAGCCCACAGTGTGGTTTCTCCTGCAGCCTTATGAAACCCCTGTGAAGAGCTTGGTTGGCCTCGAGCTGCCTTTCCCTGAGGCTGCCTTGGGGGAAGGGCATGCAGAACTTTCTGGAAGCTGCTTACCTAGGCCCTAGAGGTAAGGCCCGGGTCTGCCAATGGCAAAGGCAGAGTCATTGCCTGGGGAATGGGCTTCAGACCTGCTGGCCCTCGAGATACCCCACATGTTCAACGGGTGATGAACACCAAGTTCCCACTGGGGCTATCAGTCCCCATCACAGCTTTTCACGGTGACCCACTGGCACCCCTCAAGTTTCACTGTCAGGGCAGCTGCCCAAGGCAGGAGCACCCACCGGGGTGCCTGGGGGGCGCTGCTGAAGGGGGTCAGTGACCGTCCCCACTCCTCAGGACCCAGCAAAGAGAGGATGACGTGAGGGCGGTCAGCAGGGGACTGCGGGGAACAGATGCCTCGATGGGGCTGAAGGGATGGGTGTGCTGAGGGGGGTGGATCTTCCATGGGACTGTGAGCATGACGGGCTGAGGGGAACGGACGCCTCACGAAGGCTGCAGGAGCTAGGTCCGACCGCGCTGGGCACAGGCGGCAGCGACTTCCCGGCTCCAGGCAGGGCTGGCGGGGGCGGAGGCGGTGGGAGCGTCAGCAGCCTG